ATTATATGAATATTTACAATATTGCTGCTAAATATTATAAATGAAGAATTTTGAAGAATTTCCATGAACGTTTCAATATTTTAACTGAATTCAATACACACATGTTTAATTAAATTTTTACAATTAAATTAGATGATCAATTTTCTTAATGCAAAAAGTAATAAGTTGACTATATACTCGTAATGTTGACTTGACGGTCATGCTGTAAAATTGAGAGCGTCTATACCAATACCAAGTACCAATAAATACTAGAAAGGCATTTTCATTTAACAGCTAAATAAAATAATAATAAAAATTATGTATTAAAAATAATTTTTTAAAATTATTTTTTTTTTTTTTAAATTCTTATTCGTACAGCATTACGAATAATATATTATGTGCGTTCAATTCACAAAGATCATATCGAATATATTCTTTTTGTCTCAATCTTTTACAATATACACACATTGTGCTATTAGTTACATCATTGATTTTAAATCTAATGGACACTGTTATTTTTTTTCTCATTTTTCTAAAAATTTTTGAAAGCTGTTCCTGCTGAAATTACTGAAATGAAATCTGATTCTGTAATATGAGATTTAAAATTTAGTAGAAAAGAGTGCCAGGATAAGTTTGAATACTAATTTTAATTATAAATAAAAAATAAGAAAATTTTTAAAATATCAGCGAGTGCAAACCAGCGCCAAGGATAAGAAACATATTATAGATTTTGCAAAACGTGAATGAAATGACTAATTCAATATAATAATGTTCTACAAAGGGCTCATATTATTTTCCTCTATTTCGGACTTTCTACATGACTTCTTTTAGAGTCAAGCTGCAGTTGGACAAATAATTGAGTTAACTAAGCGGTGGCCATTATATCGTAGTTAAGGATTTATATGTAGGCTACCTTTTTGCTGGTATCATTCAAAACTTTAAATAATAGATTTTTAGAAAACTTAAAACAAACTATTATTAGTTTGCAAATTTAAAAATTGTTTGAAAAATTTCTTATACAAGAATTCAAAATAGAATCTAAAATATATCGTAACAATATGATGAAAATTATTAATCATTCTATTCAAATTTCAAGTTCAATTAAGAATGATTTCAAAAACTTTAAAAAATAAATTATTTTCATTTACAAATTTTAAATAATCTTGAGCATAATTAATTAATATGATTATGAAATTTTCGTATTCCTTATGCAATTAATTAATAAATAAATTAATAAATATGTAATTATGTGTAAAATCAATTTGTTTTAGTGTTATTCGTAAAATTTCAGATAAAATTTGTAATTTCAATTACAATTTTCAAAAATTTTATTGAAAAAGACAATATGAAATGTTGTTTGTTTTTTGGGTACCTGTTATCTAGCAAAATTAATTTGCTAAATAGAAATATTAATGTTATAATACATTTAATGTGTGTATTTATAATAATTATATATTTTTAAATACGACATAAAATCTATTATTATATTGACCATGTGATTTTATTATTTGCAAAATTATTTGTTTAAAGAAAAATAAAAAAAAATAAAAAACGAAAACTACTTGTTTGAAATATTTTCGAAAAAAATTTTTCTATTTAAAAAAAAAAATTTTCATTTAACTCAAGTTTTTTATTTTTAAAATCGTAAAAAAATAACCTTGTACACATTAAATATTATATTATTGTTTGAGAAAGTAAAATTAACATATATATATATATTAACATTATATTAACATAATATTAACATATATATATATATATATTAACATATATTAATCTATTCTTTTTTTATTAAATATTTAAATTGTTTAAAAATAAAATAAAAAATAATGAAAAGAAAAAAATTAATGATTGTATGGTGTTAGCATAACACAAAATATTTAATAATATGATCTTATTTATTTACAAAATAAATATAAAAATAATTTTTAATTGCAAAAATTTTTTAATTCTCGGTCAATGTTATTTATTAAACATGTAGGTACATTCCCTCTAAATATTTAATTTTTCATGATATTTTTTTATATACAAATAATATTATACTTAAAAAAACAAATGTAATGGTTAAAGGTATATTATTTTTGTTATTTTTTTAATTTAATTTTAAAATTATTTTGGAATTGATTAACTCTAATTAATATATTGTTTATTTTAATATTAGTACACAAGATATGTATTTGTTTTCAAAATTCTATTACTTAATTCGATAATAATTTGACTAGAAAATATATGAATAATGTATTATTTAATTTGTTCAATTAAAAATTTTGTTAACATTGTTAATTTTATTAAGCTTGTTATACATATAAATATTGAATATTTTAAATAATATTTTTGTCTATGAATATGTCTATGACTTATGCTCAAATTACTATTATTATTATTGGGTTTAAAATTTTTGTGTGATAATAACACCAATTTAAAATTATAATTATATTTTATACAAAAACAATAATTACATAGTTACACATATTATATGAATACATAAAACTTTTTTACTAAAAACACAAATAATTTAATTTTATTATGGAAATTTTTTTTTATGAATTTTAAAAATAGTAAAAATGGCATGCAAAATATTATATGTGTACATAATATACACATATCTGAATAAATTAAAAAAAAATATATATAAAAATTTTAAAGTAATTAAAAAAGACAATGAACTTGAAAACAATATATGTATTATTAAAATGTATGTATGCATGTACATTAAATGAGATTTCGTATTAAATTGATTTTTTAATATCTTATAAATAAAAATTTGAAAACATTATAAAATTTTTGAATTTTAAATTTTATGCCAAATTATTTTAATGGTTCTTATTAGAGATTTGGAATTTTGTATGAAGAAGAAAAAAAAAAACACACACAAAAATATTATAATAATACTCACAGTTTTTTGCGTTTTTTTTTCAACAATAATAATTATTTCTATAGTACAACTTTTAGTAATTTTAACGATATTTTAGAGGATATTTTGGATTCTACAGGAAATCATCCATCATTGCATTATTATTAAACTATTTAAACATGCAGTCAATTTAATAAAACATGCAGTACTTAGTATCAAAATGATTATACAGTAGAATATGCTGAAGAATTTTCAATTAGGCTGATATTGTTCGTATTGTAAAATGATCCCAATAAAATATACAAATTAAATAAAATATTAATACATAAATGTAAATAATATATAATTATTAATTATAATTAATAATTAAAATATTTTGCTCTCCTTCCATACAAATAATTCAGAACATTCGTTTTATAATAAATATGTTCCTAAATGAAATATTAATTATTAAAAAATTATTAAAAATCACAAAAAAAATATTAAATAAATATATACATGAATATATAATTATTTAAAATACATTAAGATTAATTTTTGCAAAATTTTCTAAAAAAAAAATTTATAATTTTTAAAAAATTTACTAAAAATTCCAAATTTTCATTAGATATGTACTATTTATGTATTTTAAATAAAAGCGTTCATATCCTACATACATGTTAAATTCAAAATGTTTTCAAAATAAAAATATTTAATTAATTAAATATACAGAAATAGTGCATACATACATCACTTAAATAATATACATATAATAAATTTTGCATATTAACAAATTTTTAAAATAATTAATGTGTACTGGGTTGAATTATTTTTAAAAATTCTTTTAAATATACATAAATATATTTTGCATGCAAAACGAAAAAAAAAAAAAACTTTAATATTTTAAGAACATTAAAGTTTCTTCATTTATTTAATTTTTAAAATTGAAATTTATTTATTTGCGATTTACTTTAGCGATTAATTTTGCATAAATAAAAATTTTACATCTACCCTAGATCAATTGATTTTTATTTTCATTTCCATTTTTTTTTTATATTTATATTTAATAGATTTAAGATTCTAAACAATGAGAAAAAGTTCTACTTTAATTAACAAATAATTAAAAAATTAAATATATATATTTTTTTGTATGCCAATAATTAGCACACTTCACTTTTTCTTTTTCTTTTTTTTTTTTGCTGATTTCTATTTCTTTGTTTAACTTTTTTACATTGCCTCTATAATTAACAACATTTTCAATGCTCGGAAATAAGATCATAAGAATATAAAATCAACTTGTAATTATTTTCACTATGACAAAATTAAGAATTCAAAAAAAATTGAATTAGAATTTTTTAAAATAATAAATCAATTGTCATTTATCTTTTTTCGAACTAAATATTCATATCACAAATTCCAAAAAAAAATAATTTGAACGCAAAATATTTATGTATTCACATGTTATGTACAAAGTATTTAAATTTTTCATTTAATCCTTATAAAATTATTAAAAAATTAACAAGACCTTAAAAATTACCACAATGTATAAATTTGTATAATTTACCACAAAAAATGTATATTTTTGTAATCATTGTATACAATATAAATTTCAAATTCTAAAAATGACTACTATATTGTGTGTTGTAAAAAAAAAATTATTAAAAAATTAATTTTATAATATTCAAAATATTATGTTTTCATTTTTGGCAAAATATACCTATCTATAAACATTAATAAAAAATTTATTTATATCCCCAATTTCAAAAAATTTTGCAAATTTTCATTCATTAATTGATTTTCATATTATAATATTAAATGTAAAAAAAAAAGCTGAAATGTAAAAGAGAAATTTTGTTATTTAAAATTTGTAAAAATTTTTCATCATTTCATCATATTTTGTAAAATAAAACATAAAAAAAAATACATGTTATTCCTGCGATATTAATTTCCGGATAGACGAAATTTTCTTCTATGCTATGTAGTAATAAAATAGATTAAAAGAAGAAAAAAGTATTAAAGAAAAATGAAAGTCCAATTAAAATTTATTGAAATTTCTAAATTTTTTTTTTTCACTATTTCGTTTTTCTATTAGGTACCTCAAAAATAAATACTATTTGGGATTTGTGTAGTAGAAAATACTAAACACTAAAAATAAAATTTTAAAACAAAGAAGAAAATAAAAAAAAAATTACAATAACAAAAGAAAAATTTAATAAATAATTTAGTATATATAATATATAATATATAATATACAATATCTAAATATAGATAAAATATTATTACAACCAATTTCAAAAAGAAAAACATTTATGTAAAATTATATATAAAATTTGGTATATAATTCCAATTGTTGTAAAAAAAAAAAAATAAACAATAACTAAATAACTTAATTTGGCAACAGTAATTTTAATCAACCGATTGGTGCCCTAAAAGGACACGCAATTTTTTGCTATTTTTTTTACACTTTTTCCTTTCTTCATTAAAATATATAATTATAATAGTTTTTTTTTGTACATACATGTATAATTATATATTTTGAAATGAATTTTAAACAAATAGCAAAAAAAAAAAATAATCACCACTACTTTTGTTTTGTTATATTATATAATTATATAGCAGATACAAAAGATACAGAAAATTTTGTATCTTTTATTTTCGTAAATTCTTTTAAATTAGGATTCCAAAAAATCAAATGAATTCGATATTCAAATTCGAAATTATTAAATAAATAAATAAGAAAAATTAAATTATAAAGAAAAATAATAAATTTTAAGTACATACATAAAATATAGCTAAAACAAAAAAAAAATCATAAAACTTTCTTTTTAGCTTAATATTTTAGTATAAATGAAAAGATTCGTTAGTATACCAATTAAATAGAAATCGTCTTTTTCCCAAAAAATTTTTTTTCTTCCTTAACAAGAATCAGAAAAAAAAAAAATTAAAAAATATGTGCTCATAATACGCAGAGTCGATGTAGGTTGCTTTTTGATTTTCTTTTGTATTTTTTTTTCTTTTGTATTTTGAGAAGAAAAAAAAAAATATAAAATTAAATCAAAAACGGAGAGCAAGATGCGGAGAATTATTTATTTTATTTAATTTATAATCCTCCACCTGATCTATCAACTGTGATCTTTTTCTTTAATTTATCAGCTTCATGTTTTGCTTCTTCGACTTCAGCCATAACAGCAAATCTTGAATGTGCAATGGTGCCAGTTTTAATAGCTGACATCATTTGCAAATATTCATCTAATTCGACTTGCCCATTCATATTTGTATCAATTTCACGTAAGATTTCATGAAGCTGTTCACCAGAAACATCTTCCTCTCCGTAACTTTTCATCGCTCTACGTATATCATTAATTGATACATATCCCTTATTATCTTTATCGATAATTTGGAATCTTTTAACATATTTATCAATTTCACTTTTAGACAAATTAACTTGTAATTTGCCCTTCGATTGTGTATTTAATCGTTGTCCCATTTGTGTTACTAAAAAGTCTGAAGCTTCTTTAATTTGTTTTTCTTTTTCTTGTTTACTCCATTTTAATTCTTCACCCATAATATCAACAACCATTGGTAAAGCTTCTTGTGCTGCCTGAACATTCAAAAATGCCAATCTTAAACGTCTAGCAATCATATCAACCGCGTTACAAGCATATTCTCTAACACCATAACGAATTTCAGCATCAATATATGGAAATTCTGGATGTAATTTATTACCGATAATTGGCCATCTTTTACCAGTTAATGATGCCATTTTGGCAACAGCGAAAGCTCGGTCACCATAAGATTTTGCCAAATGTTGTGCAACTTCACATTCTAAACCAAAATCTTGTACTAAACGAATATACATAGTTGGTGTCCAACCTTGACCTCCTTCAATTTTTAATAAAGATGTAACAGCTTCTGAGCGTTCAGGTTTTAAATTACAAGCCTTTATAGCTGCATCAAGTGTATGCTCTGCCATAGCGCGATATGTTGTCCATTTTCCTCCAGCAATCGTTACCAAATTTGATGGACTAACATGTACTATATGATTTCTAGCCAAAGATTGTGTATCGCCTTTGTTTGGATCAGAAACGAGTGGACGAATACCACTCCATGCTGACAATACATCACCACGGCGAACTTCAACGTCTTTATTTAAATAATTCTTAATTTCGTTAAGAATGAATTCAATTTCATCTTCATTTGGTCGTGGTGAATGTGTTATTTCACATGGTGAGTCTGTAGTACCAGCGATTGTGTGTCTTTGCCATGGTAAGAAGAAAATAACTCTACCATCAGATGTAGAAGGATCAAGTAAACCCATTTGCTCAGGACTGTAATAGCCTGGCAAAACAATATGCACACCAGAACTTGGACAACATATGGTTTTAATAGTTGGATCATCCATTTTACGAATGTGATCAGTAAATGGACCAGTAGCATTTATAATACATTTTGCTTTGACTGACCATTCTTTTCCACTAATATGATCCTTTACTTTAGCGCCGCATAAAACCATCTTACCACTAGCATCTTTTTTCTTCATCAATTCTGTAACTGAAACGTGATTGCATACAGTTGCACCATGACGAGCAGCAGTCAAAGCAACTGCCAATGCCATTCTAGCATCATCTTGTTGACCATCGTAATAAACAATAGCACCACAAAGCTTATCTTTCTTCAACATTGGATACAATTCCAAGGCATCTTGTTTCGATAAATAATAAGAGCTCTTTACATTTGCATCACCAGCTACAAAATCATAAGCTTTAATACCAACCCAATAATATGGCACTTGCCACCAAGTATACACTGGTAACATAATTGGTAATGGGTGAGTTAAATGTGGAGCAGATCTTAACATGGATGCACGTTCAGCCAATGCTTCTTTTACCATGCGATATTGTTCAATATCAAGTCCTAAAATAGCCTTTTGCAAATATCTTACGCCGCCATGAATCAATTTCGTAGATCTTGAAGAAGTTCCACTAGCAAAATCATCTCCTTCAACTAAAGCTGTTTTCAAACCACGTGTTACAGAATCTAGAGCACATCCTGCTCCAGTTGCTCCACCACCAATTATAAGTACATCATATTCTTCGCCACTTTGCAATTGTTTGATTTGCTCATCTCTCGGTGGGAGGGTACGTTTTCTTTTTGGTGGTCTTGCGACGTCGGTATAAACTTTATATGGTGAATCTTTGTTGTGTAAATACCATGCTGAAAGTGCAGCACCAACACAGGCACTTACAGTGGTAATACCAATTTTACGAAACCTCGATGCCATTATATAATATATGAATCCCCTTAAAATTACAAAAATTTGTTAAATAAAAAGTTTTGGGCAACAAGTTTTTCGGTTTTATCTAATAAATTCTTACAAATTCTTATGGAATTCTACGATCTAATTTTCAAAATCCTGACGTAAGAGGTGAAGAATTCAATAAAAAAAATGCAATATAAAACACTACGATGTGCTAGTACTACGCTCTAAATTTACAACTGAGAAAATGAAAAAATAACACCATCTGATTTGATATTGCAAAAGCTCTAACTCTAATGTCAATTGATATTAGACAGAAACAGAAGACGCACCTGAATTACCTGTGGCCTAGTGGCAGCTTACGAAAAAGTTTATGATTAAAAAGCTCTCTGAAATATTTATTCCAAGTAATGTCAAATTTCTTATATACATAGAAATTCACAATTTCAAACAAATTTAAAATCAATTCACAATATCAAACTTAAAAAAAAATGAAAATCCCTTCACGAGACAAAATTAAAAAAAATTTTAATTTTAATTTTTGACAATCAGAGTTAATTTCATTTGCTAAATTCTAACTCCTGACAATTTATATCTGTCTCTTGGAAACACTTTATTATATAATTACGATTAATATAATAAACCCTTGCTGTTTCGTTTTATAATTTTTCCCTCCCATTTAAACTAAAAATTTTGTAATGAACATTTTCGATTTCGACTTTTTGAAGAGATGCTTTCAAAGAAACTACATTGAAAAAAATATTTTATAGCTCAAAATTTGTCAAAATTAAATCTGGCCATGAAAATAATGATGAACTTTTACAATACAAGTTTTTCAATATTTTTTTGAGACGACAACAATTAAAAAAGTACTCCTCAAATATTAAGAGTCATCTACTGGAAACAGCAAATACTATTTAGACAGTTAATACAGGTTAATAACAAATTTGTAAAATAAGAAATATACTAGTAGAAATTAGCAATATTATGGAAGGAAATATATAATAATATTTTGGATATATAGCAAATACCTCTTGGCAAACAGCAAAGAAATAAGAAGGAAACACAGAATCTCGACTTATGCTTGAATTCATAACAAATAGAAGTAGATAGTATCGCAACTTAAGAAAACTGCAAATTGCAAAAGTGAAAAGTATTGAATACATATACATAACATACTTTTGTGTAGTCCTTAAATTATTTTACGAGCTGCTAATGAAGTCAAAAATTTTGTTTAAAGTAAGTTTTCATGCAAATATATAAAATCTTTAGTTATTTCTGATAAACTGTTTTCAGATTGCAATTGCGAATACGCAAAATGTTGATTCTTAGTTCAATAAATATTAGAATAAAATAAATGGCGGTAAATACAGTCAATATTCCATAAATTCACCAAAAGCGGTGAAAATATCGTACAATATTCATTACTATTCATATCATTGCATTATTTAAGCAGATTAAAGATGTTGGATCCAGAAAATATCAGATATATACTACTGGCAATTAAGCAAGGGAAATCTATGACAGTTGCTCAAATTAGAAAGTGGTTGTGCAATGAAGCTTCTTATAAAATAGAAGATGCCGCTGATATATTATTGAAAGCTGTACTTGATGGGATTTTGATACCATCAAGTTCAGAAATTCTAGAAAAAATAAGAAAAACAAATGCCCTCAGAGATAATGTTATATTAAGCCTTGTAGATATTGACAGTTTACCAGAAAATTTTTTAGAAAAGGATCCGTACTGCTATGAATGTCATAAACCTGGAGTATTGGAAAATTGTAGAAATTGTTCAAGAACGTTTCATGTCCATTGTCAAAGAAAGGACATATTCTTACCCAACGGAACCAATAATATAAAATTAAAAGATCATGTGCCAATAGAAACTTTTTTAAGTGATGAAACAAGTGATTTGAACAGTAGTAGTAATAGAGATTTAGATGAAGTTAATCGTTCTATAACAAGTACTGATGATGGTATAACAGACGAGCTATCTCCACCCCATGAAACTTCATCAAGTAAATTAAAAGAAGAAACATTTGAAAATGAAAAAACAGATGAGAAAAATATTGATGTTTTATATGTTGGTCAAATTCGAGAGCCAAAAAGAAAACGCGCTAATAATTCAAATCAAAATTATAAAAATGAAGTGGCATGTGTTGACGACGAAAATAATGATATAAACAAAGATGATGAATCTCTATGCACAAATTGTAGATTTTTGAAAAAATCTCCAACATTAGATCCGGCAAATATAACAAACGAAGAAACATGTTATTTATTACAATTTGTTTTCACCAGAATAGCTAGTTGGATTCCCTTAGAAACTTTTTCAACGTTGCCAAAAATTAAAAGTTTTCATCCACCAGGAAAAGAAGAAATAAATTTCTATAAAGCATATTGTTTTAAATATATTAAAACTCTAGATGAAATCGACGAAAAAATCAAGAACAAAGAATATAAATCATTCACTGAATTTTATGTAGACTTTTTAGATATTCAACATTGTATTGGTATTGTATTTGGAACTGTCTCAGAAGAATATTTGGCTACAGAATATCAGATGAAGGACTGTAACTATGAATTATCCGAAATAAGACAATGTCGGGATTGTTATCGTCGTTCAAACGACAAAAATTATATTAATGATTGGTTTTGTATACCATGTGTTCCAAGACATGAATTAGTTTATGCTAAAAAAACACCATGGCCATATTGGCCTGCTAAAGTTATAAAATTCAAAGATAATAAATATGACGTAAGATTTTTTAGTGATAAACATGAACGGGCTATAATTGATGCTAAATATATTAAACCAATTGATGAATATCAACCTACAAAAACTTCATCTGCTTTAAGAAAAGCAATGGAAGAATTAGACAAATATCGAATTTATGATCAGCAACCAGCTGGTACTTTCTCATTTGAAAAGGAACGGGTTTTTAATAGAACGATAACGCCATTAAATTTACAAAATAAAAATACTGATTTTAAAACAAGACTTAGAAATAGAAAAGATAATTTGAAAACGGTCCCTATTCTGACTGCTTCTAATATCGTAACAAAAAGTAATAAAAAAAATATAACAGATACAGATAAACCATCAGGAAGTAATAGTGTTTCGAGAAGAAAACAAATAGATAGGAAAACTAAATCAAATGATTTTAATACAAAGAATATGAAATATTATGAAGCAGTTAAAAATTTAGGAAAACAAATCGAAAAAATAACAAATAAAGATGAACTTAAAAGAACAGTAATGGAAACCATGCAAAATGAAATGAAATTATTAAATGATCAAATAAAAGAATTATCGGCTGAAATAATTGAAACTAAAAAGAAACCATGGTGTAAATGGTGCCTTCAACCAGCCACTTTATATTGTTGTCATAATACATCATATTGCACATTAGAATGCCAAAAATTAGATTGGCATAATGGACATAAATTTAAATGCAGTCATAAAAATGATGCAAGATAAAATAAATTAACAAAATAATCAACAGCTGAATAACTTATGTACGTACTTTATGTTATTGTGGTCATTTTACATATTTTTATTAAAGTGATATAAATATTAAACTTTACTTGTATTATTCTTTATAGAGTTTCTGTCCGAAAATATTTTTCTCGAAAATATTGTACTAATTTTCTTCATTAATAATAATTTTAATTTATTTTGAATAAGATGTTAAAAATTAGTGTTACATTTTGCATCCTAAAAATATTTAAAAGTTAATAATTAATTTAATTAAAAATTAAGGAAGTATTAAGTATTAAAGTGTAATTTTTTTCGTTTTTGCATAAATATTCTTAATTTTCTTTTTATAAATAAGTAAATTCTAAAACTTAATATAATTGGCATTGGATATAATTCTTTTCGGTTTCAATATACTTATATAAATAAAATGTTATTAAGTAAATTACAATGGAATATTATAAAAACAAATTGTAATTATATAAAGAAATTATTGTTTTACAGTAATAAAATTTTGCCCATAAAAACTCTTTCTTAATTATATAAACTAAAAATCAGATAATTAAAGAAATCATGTTTTAATACAAATTTGTAATTTTCTTGTCATTATTGGATTAAAAAATAGTGTAAATTGAGTAAACGAGAAATGTTGAATAGTTTTTCATGCAAAAATTAATTAGAGACAAAACCTACATTTGTGAAGCACAAAAGATAAACCTTTGCTACAAAAGAAGTATGTTCGAAAATCTTAACATACTTAAAGTTGTAAAGCATTTTTAAAAATTTAAATGTTGTCCACTGCAAAAATACTTTTAGTTTGAAAAAAATGTATGATATTAAAAATCTGAAAAAGTTAATTAGTTGCTGTTGTAAATCAATAATGATAATATTAAGATGATTATGAAAAATATTAAGATTTCTGTTAAAATTTTAATTAAAAGTCCCAAATACCTTACTATCTTTTTACAGTAATTAAATGAAAGCATGACATTCAAAATTAAATGCAAACATGACATTCAAAATTAAATGCAAGCATGACATTTAAAAATCTTTGTCTACTTTTTCTTACCAAGTTAAAATTTTTAAAGGTCTGTTGTTCGGATACAGTTTAAGGACAATATTAAACATTTAAAATATAGGACTCAAATAAAATTTTTAGGCCCAGTCGTCGAATAAAGAGCGTACAGTCCATCCTGTAACAATATACAATATCACTTTATAACAATATCGCTTTCGTATTAACAATGAAAATGTTGAATGATACACCCAGTATGATAACACAAGAACTCAACATAATTTACCGAAAGAATAAATATGAGAAATAATAAATCTAATAACGGTACAACACCTTATTCACCACTTTAAGTATAATTTCTCTCAATATATTTTAGTATATATTGTACATTGACTATAATAATTCAGTTAGTCTTAGGAAAGTTATCAAAGAATAAAGAATAAATTAAGTACATTGTCATTCAATTTCGCTGCTGCTGGCCAAGGATACTTCCACTACAGATAAAAAAAGTAAGAGAATAAAATAATAAAACTTTTTTTTTTGTTTTTATCCTGTTTACCAAGTCAATTTTTTATTTTATTTTTTTTTTTCATTTTTCACAATACTTTTTTTCCTTTTATAACTAATTTTCCTTTTTTTTCTTTTTTTTTTCATTTACATTTTCATTTTTTCCATTTTTTTTTTTCATTTCATTTTTATCAATTATTTATTTTTTAATTTTAATTTTTATTATAATAACTCTTCAGAATTTTTTTTTATATTTTCAATATTTCAATTTTTATAATTAATAGTGTTCGAAAGGGTTTTTTTTTTCTTCATTAATGACATTTTTTTTTGGTTTCATTTTGTTTTCAATTTCCATTCATTTCACAATGTTTTAAATTTCATTTTCAATATTTCATTTTTAAATGAAATTTTTCTCTGTAGAAAGTTTTTAACAAGCTAACAATAAAATCTTTTTTTTTTTTTTTCATTTTTAAAGTGCAAATTTTTTTTTTATTTTTTAAACAAAAATAGAATTGTAAAATTTCATTTTCCTTTTTTTTTTGCTTTATTTTTATTAATTTAATAATTTTTTTTTATTTTTTATTTCTTTTTTTATTTTATAGAAAATATTTTAATTATTTTTTACCTTATTCAATTATTACGTTCTTTTATTTTAAATTTTAACTTTTTTTTTTAATTTCTTTAAAAGAAAAATTATAAATTTATATGTCGCAAAGAGAAACAGATAAAAATTATATAAAAGCTTATAAAATTAAATAAAAATAAGAATTAATGGTAAGTTAAAGAAAATTTTATAAAGCCAAATTTATTTATATGTAGATGTAGAAATCAAGAGTGAATTACAATTATTTTAATAAATGAAAATGATCACAGTTTAAGATTTAATAATAAAATTTGAATTTTGCAAATAATTTACTTTAAAATTCCAGAAAAATTTACATAACTGCATAATTGAACATAACGATAATATTGTAAAGCAAAGAGAGGTCGATTGAATTCGATGCTCATGTTAAGCACATTAATCGCCTCATTTTGCAAATGACAATGAATCAGTTGACATTTTAAAAATTATATCAATAAATCCGAAAATTTGAAATTTCAAAAATTACAACATTTTTTCGTTATTCATTTTGTCAAGTACTCGTACAATATACATCAAATTAAAAAAAAAAATTAATCAATTGCGTTGGCAACGCAAATTTTATTATATGACGTCTATGTCACGTCAACTTTGAATTTTGTGACTAATGTCATTTGTTGCACACATTTAATATACTGAGAAGCAGCCTGTTTTTACAACTTTCATTCTAATTAATTTTGAATTAAAAATACTCTTGATATCATTCGTACTCTGTTCGTAATAATCATTTAAATAATTTAGCTTTAATAAATTTTTTTAACTTTCAAAATTATAAAATGTTTATATTATTATAATTATTATTATAATCAACTATATTTCTTTTTCTCAATAAATTCCTGATTTAAATTACGTTCAAAATTTATATTTTTTTATGTGTATATATAATTATGTAGAAATATATTTTAATACAATAATTGCATAATTTTGCATATTTATATACAATTGTTTTTTAATATTTTTTTTAAAAATTTCATTTATATAAGTAGAAAACGAACAAAATATATTATATATATGTATGTATATAGTATAAATAAAAATATTGAAAAAGGAAAACATTTCTTTTTTTTTTGTTTTATTTTTTTAAGAAAATATAGGCTGAGCAAATCAAAAAAGACGTATACCGAATGTATTTTTCACCTTCCATTGCAATATTTTTAATTTATTATACTTATTATTATTTTTTTTTTTAATTTTATTAATTTTTTTTTTTAATTTTATTATAATTTTAATTTTATTATATTAAAAAGGAAATAAAAATTTTTTAATTAAAAAACTTAAATAAAATAATAGTAATAATAATTTTTAATTGTTTCATAAACATGATTTTTTTTTATAATTTTATTAAATTATCATTAAATTAATTATTTATTTTCAATATTCAATTGATAATAAAACTATTTATTATAAAATTTCAATTAGATTTCAATAAATCATGATTAAATTATTTTTTATGTCATAAAAAGAAATTAATTAATTTAATCTGATTTTGGTTTATTTAACAGAAATGAAATTAAAAATGAAGAAAGTTTATTTCAAAATTGACAATTAAATTCGCATCTTATAACCTCACATTTTCATTTGTCAAATTTAAACCATTTTTTGAATTAAAATTGCAAATTCATTGTGAATTCAAACCAATTTTACAATTAATTTTTTTTTTAACAATAATAATTGAGTAATGTCAAATAATTGCCAAATAATGTCGTCAATCGAAATTAATATCGATTGCAAACAAATCAACATCGAGTCTCGGAAATCACAAATAAATGTCACTTATTTCAGCTTAAAAAAGAAATGTGTCATTTTTTTTTTCATTAAAGAGTGAAAATAGTTTTACATAAAATTTTTATAAAATTTAATTAATTATTATTTAATTATATATACTTAAAATAATAAAGAGTATAATATGTATGCACCAATCAGCTTTATCATTATTTCATATAATAATGTTATACTTAAATCCATATTTGTTTTAAAATATAATTTTTTTATTTTATTTATTTTGCTTTAATTTTTTTTTTTTATAATTGAAAATTATAGAAATTATTTTTTATAGAAGTAAAAAAAAAATGAAAATTATTTTATTTTTGTTTTTTTTTTTTTTTAATTAAATAATTCAATTTTCTTCTAACACATATTATTTTATATATAATAATAATATGTATAAAATATGATCTATATATATATATATATATATACAAATATTATTAATTGTTAAATATATAATTATTGTTTTATATAAATGTACAAAAAACAGTTTAAATTTTTTTTTATTATTTCTTTTTTAACTTTATTAAAAAAATTTTTTTTTCAATTTTATTTATATAGTTTTAGTTTTAGAAAGAAGTTTGTAAGTATAATCTAATAATTATTTTTAATTTCCAAATTACTATATAAAAATTATTTTAAATTTTTTACACGCCCGGTTTGATATGTTTTTAGTAATACTATACTATTTACATACATAATCGATATTATAATTTATAATCGATTATAGAATACCAAATTATTTGAAATCGTAAACTAGAGAATTTTTATTTTGAGAGCAATGGTGATATATTTCCAGAATTTGAGAATAATATATGAAAAAAACTCATAAGAAGGAGAATGAGAAATTTTTTGAGAACAAAATTAAAAATTTCATATATTTATGAAATCTTAGGAACTTAGGAAATACAAAAAGTAGCTAGTTATTTATTGTAAAAATAAAAATATAATTTTATATAATTTTTTGTTATATTAATGAAAATTCAATATATTATTTTATTTTTAGGTAAACACACAGTAAAGATGGTCAACCATATACTCAGTTAATTAAAAATTGAATAGACCATTCAAACCATGTACAAAAGTGCGAAGCTATATTTATGATTTCACTCAGAAAAATATGGAATTCTGTTATACAGTATTTATACGAGTAGTATGAGAATAAATTGAATTCTCTGTGCAGACATTTTGAAATAAAAAAATAAATTAATTAATGATTTCTCAAATTATTATTTATATTTTTGTTATAATTTAAAAATATATTAAAATTGTATTTTAAAAATCAACAAAATCAAGATAAA